GGGTGTTCTTCTTCGGCCTGGGCCCCTCCTTTCGGCGATCTTACCCTGTATTATGGGGTGTAGGTTATACATCTGTGGATGTTCATTACATGCCGAAATATTGTAATTTCGAAATTTGATCGTTTTTGTTATTTTTGTGCTTTTTTGATTCGATGTAAAACTATTTCATTTCTTATTCGATCAAACCAACTTATCCGCAGTACTCGTTAATACATCCAAATCTCAAAGGCCTCAAATTTTTTCATTAATGTCTCTGTAAGGGTCCAGCTCTCCAAACCATACAGCAACACAGTTTTCGTTAACGTTTGCGTTCAAATAGGTAATATTGTAGATCTTTTAATTCTATTCGTTACGGCTCTGATGTTCGTTGGGTTGTAATTGGTCTTTTACTGAACAACCATAAGTTTTTATCTTTAGAAGTTACAGTCCTCTCTCTCTAGTAACGCTATGCAAGCGACAAGGACGGGAATTATTTTCATCAGTTTTAGAACGAGAGATCGCTTGCTTATTACAGAGTGAGACAAAATTCTGGTACGTAAAACCTGTACAGGTAAACCACATAGATTTATTAAAGGATTTATATAAAGCATGTACAGTATAAAAAAAATGTCTGGTACTATGAAAAACATATGTTACTATACAATAACGAAAATTTATGCTACTGTAACAATATACATATTTAAGCCTATATTTAAACAACAAAAGTCTGTCCCTTGATCTGTTTTCTTTTCCCTTTCCAAAGAAACTGACTGGCCTTGTCCAGGACTTCATAGAATCTTCCACGGAATATATTGTTTTTCTGGTGGATGAAGAATCGATCAGTTTTTGCCGCATCCAATGCCTGCTGATGCGTGTGAGCTGGTTCTGGCTCTGCTTCCACTTCAGGGGTCACTGTTTCTTCTTCTTCTACACGAACTGTTTGTAGGATGTCTCGTCAGTAGCCAGTCTGTTGGTATACGTCCTCTTTCTATTTTTTTTTGACGAGGCTTAAAAGAGAATGTTTACTTATCGTCGAGTAGTTTGATTATTTCGCATGGAATTTTATTGGACGGTTACTTTCCTATTCTTTGCTTTCCATATCATCGAGTGTTATGTTTGGACAGTCGATATATTTTCGATTTGAATTTCTGTTCACATATCGTCATCAACAAGCTTCTCATCTTTATTCTTCCAACTCTCGTAATTCTGTCTTTGTTCTTGACATAATATTTCCTCTTTATCAACATTAAACTAATTTGCGGTTAACTCTATATGCGTTCTAGTGTCTTTCTTTTCACCTTTTTGTACATATTAAAACGTGTCATTCTTCTTTCTGGCCGTGCTTCTATTTCAAGTACATTTGTTTGCTGTCCATTTTTCTTTTGCCATTCCCGGAATTTTCCTTCTGATTTCTTTATGGATTTTATTGTATTCTTCGCAGTGATTTTTATTTTTCTGTTTTCGTCTGCTTTCCTTAGGGACTCAATCTTCATCAGCATTCCATTGTTGTATGCGCTTATTATCGTTTTATTACTTTCTTGTTGTTGTTTCTGCCTATTGTTTTCGACATGATTCCAGTTGTCTTCTCGACGTTATGTGTTTTCTTCCGGATTTTTTTCGAACTTCTTTCTATAGGTTAGAAATGTTATCCTTAGAAAGAGATTAAAAACTTTTCAATCGACCTAAAATTTCTCATTGGTCAGTTCATTTCTGATTTTGTAGCTTTTTGTGTTTTGATCCTTTACATATAAACCTGTAAAATTGCTGTTAGTATTTGCAGTAATAGCGGACAAAAAAAAGCATTTACTTAGTCAAAGGAAGCTCGTCATTCAATCTGTGCACTTGTCACACTCCTAGTGTCAAATGATAGTACTGTAAGGAAGGTGCAGTACAGTGCAGATTTGAAGGCGATTGGAAGTGGGGTGGAGAAGACCAGACACTCGATAGGAAGATTGTAAGAATGTTTTCGAAAGCAGGCTAAGGCTCACGAAGGGCTGTAGCGCCAAGGATGATGTGATCGTTACATGGTCATGACGCTTTAGATTCATCATGAACACAGCCCTACTGAGCGTGGAGTAGCTATATTTTCCAGGGTTGTCAACCTCAGCACCCTATTTCAAATGAAAAAACCTTAGCAAGTAGACCCCATATTGTAGACAACCCAATTTCCGACGCCCCGTGATTGCATTTTTTTTTTTAAAATGAGGTTGCCATACTTTTGCAACAACTAGCGACTCAAATTGTGATATATTTTGAAAGTGCAGAACAACGGATTTATCGATCGAGCCTGTTCAGAGTGTAATATACTTCAAAACTCTACGATAGTCTACCATGAAGATATTACTTTCTGATGGATTAAATGATAAATTTTATTTCCTATCCGTAAATTCTGTCGTAGTTATGAACAGTTGCCCAGATGTGGATTACTATCTTGGGCCATTGCGTTAACCTATTGACACTAATCTTGAGCTCTAATTGATAATGATATGTCGGCGGGGAAACATTTCGCCCCCACATTTAGCTTGAAGCTAAGTTGTGAGCTACATCAATGACTCGATATAAAACACTTTTCATCTCAATATTTTTCAAGACCATGCTTGTAGAAGAGGACCATAAATCCGGTATGTTACTACATACTACTACATCTCAGGTTTCTTTAAAATAATTTCTTTTTTTAATGATTTCTCTCAAAACTGCACGTGCCGACACAAAACGTTGTTTTTTTACCTTAGTCAGCACTGTTAGTTAATCTTAACCTACTTATTAAGTGGGATTCATCCACTTACGTTATTTTTAAGACATTGTGCAATTTTTATTGGAATTTTTGTTGATATTTTGCATACCGATATGAGAAATACAACACAAACTGTTATCATGAGATTACTAAGATTTTGTAATAAGATAATTGTAGTTTTCTGCATGTAACTTAAAATATTTTTTTGTGTAAGGTCAAGTCATTGCATTGTGTTATAAATTACACAGTGTACACGAATTTCAATATGTAAAATCATGTTTTTGGTTTATCAACTGGTTTACATATTTGTTGCATTGGTAATTATTGTGAATACGAATGCCTTTTGTTATTAGTTCATACTTTTATTGGAAAAGCTAAACATTTATTAACACCAAATATCAAGAAAGAAAAATGGCCTTATTAATTTGTAAGTTTTCAAATAGTCTTTTTATTTTATTTTCGTTATTATATTTTATTATTGGAGCTTTTTTTTTTATTTCGAATTTACAATCAGTACGCAGGAGCTGTGGGAGCAGAAATGTGCAGTTTTTACATTACAGGTTGATATCTACTTAAGCAGTCTAAAGAATAATTCAATATTCTGTAATTTATGATTTTGTTAATCACTGGTGTAGTCTTGTAGGAAGTCTTTGGCTTCTTAGGTTGGCTGTGTGAGTGAAACAGTTCGAAGTTCTTCTTGAACTCTTGAACTGTTAGAAGTCTTTTGTAGACTGTGATAAGATATATTGTTGGCACATTGCGAATGGTCTGGTAGTGTTGACATACTGTGAGGATTTGCTTGACGGTTGATAGGATGTTAGCATTATCAGTTGCACGTGGGAGCAGAACTGTTCGTCTGTAGAGACAGTCTTAGATGACTGTGTGTCAAAGCGGATGGTGTTCCCTATCCTCAAATCTTCGTTGTTATCTTCTCTTTTCTGTTTCAAAAGGGGTATATGGGACTAAATATGCTGTTAACATTAGATTGTATTATCTTTTGAGCTTTGCTGTCTTTGGTGAATCCAAAGTTGCTGCCATTTATCTTACTTACTCTGTGGCGTTACAACCCTTCGTGGGTTTTAGCCGATTCGACAACATACTCCACTGTTTTCTGTCTGAGCAACCTCCATCCAATTCTCCACGCCCATTAGTGTTAGGTCTCTGCTATTATTATCTCGTCACCGGCGGACGAGGGCGTCCGCGTGGTCTCTTTCAGTTGGGACTTCTCCACACAAGTCTTACTGTTCGTTCGTCAGAATGTTTCTGAGGTGTCATGCCCATGGAGTCTTCTAGACTTTATTTCTTTAGATGTTGGGCCTCTGGGTGAAGTTCTTCGAGTCTTTGTTAGTTTTTTCCTATATTGTCCTAATGCTTCATCCAGCCACAGGACCAAAGATCTTCCTTAGGAATCTTTCTCCAAAAACACATAGTCTCTCTTCGTTTGACCTTTGTTATCGTTCACGTTTCGCTTCCATACTCACAACGGCGTCGTGATGATTGTTGTAGTGTCCGGGACCTTCGTATCCGGTAAGTCGTATTGATGGTTTCGATTAATTATAGAGGTTTAGAGGGCCAAAGACATCTTTTGCGGCCTGAATCTGTTTTTTTCTTGTGATCCGTTATTGTCTTCAGTTATTTTTGTTCCAAGATACTTGAATTCTCTAACGCGCTCAAGTTAAAGTCATCGATGATGATGTTCTGACCGATTTGTCTTGCTTTGGTTATTGCGGCTCACATACATATATTTCGTCATTGTTTTCGTTGATTTGGAGCCCAATCTTCTCTGCTTCCTTCTCGAACCTCACGAAAGTCTCCTTTCATCCTTAATCGGGTGTTTTCCATTAGATCGATTATCGTCTGCTAATTGCCAGTAAGTAAGTTTGGTCCTTCTTCGATGGAAATACTGTATTCAGGTTTTTCCGATTCTTGTCACTTCTGTATTATTGTGCTCCAGAGCTAAGTTGAAGAGTTGTTAGTGAATGTTGCATCTTCCCTGTTTTAAGTCCATTGTTTATTTCATAAATGTCTCCGAGTATTGTTGTTTTTGGCTGGAAAGCCAAAGTTCCTGCATCGCTGTCCACCGTCTGTCCCTGCATACTCTATCATATGCCTTTGTGAAAAATCTAATGAACATCCTGATGAAGCTTACGATCAAACTTTCCAGCTTTTTTCCCATTTTCTGTTGTACTTGTGATATATCTATTGTGTATTGTGTATTCCTGCCATTTGCATTGGATATTTCTTTTGAATTTTGATTTTATATCTTCTTTTAACTCTAAGTTGTAGCATGGGTAAGTTGGTTGTAGATGCTCTTTACAGCGCTGTCAGCCATACTTATTTCCATTGGTTGATCGATATTAGAAGGCACCCATATTATGTTAAGTTTCCTTGGAAGTAGTGTGGAGAGATCGGATCGATTCTAGTAGTTTTTGCATTATTTGATGTTGATTGAAAATACGTTTTCTAACGAGTGGAATTTGCTGTATGGAAAAATCGAGTGCACAGAGCGACACTTTCATGATTGTCCAAAGAGAAACTCGGGAGCGTTTGCAGAAATACTGAGAAGTGATCTGCCATAATACACGTACATTCGTTGGGATATATTCGGTTTTGTCCTAATGCTTTATACAACTATCGTGACTACAACAGGCCAATATCTCATCTGCGTTTCGAAATGGATCGGCACTTAAGCATCTATCTCTAGTTAGGATGTATTTGTTTGTTCTACTCTTTGGGAGCTTTTGGTTTATTAATAGCCGACTCACTTCTGTTTATTTGATTTATTATCAAACAGACATACGAATACTAATACATAATTATCTCTATAGGACCATGATAGACCAGGTCTGTCGAACTGTCAACTGTCTGTCCTTCTTCTCACATTCCGGGCTTCTTCTATTTGATTGTCACTAATGTTAGGTAGGTTTTACAATATCTTAAGGTAGATTTACAACTTACACATAGCTAGTAGATAAATATAATCTCTTATCTATCTATTTAATTAGACTTCTTCGGTCTCTTCTTTGGACAAGGCCCTCCCCAATCCTTTTTCATTCTTCTTCCTGTCTGTCGCTACAGTCATTATATAGAGCCCACGTGCTTTTGATATCATTCTGCCCATCTCATTTGGGGCCTTCCTCTACTTCGTTTATATTCCACGGTCTCCAACTTATAAGAATTTTGTTCTCCATCGGTCTTCTTTTTGTCTTTTATTGTGTCCGGCAAATCTCATTTCAATTTTTGCAACATTCTTGTCTAACATCCTCACTTTTGTTTTCTCTCTTATCACTCATTTCCTTCTCTTTGTTCTTATGTGTCTTTGAACATTTGTCTTTCCATTGCTCTTTGGGTTTTTTAGATTTTGTCCATGTTTGCTTTTGTAGATGTCCACGTTTGGGAACCATATAGTAAGAACAGGGAGTACGCATTGATTATATACTTTGGTCTTAAGATGCTGTGGATATCTTTTGTATTTTTAAGAATGTAGCTTAGTTTGCAAATGCCGCCATGCCAGTTATAAACTCGTCTCTTGATCTCTGTCTGGTTTGGTTTCTCATTTGTTACGTTTTATAGGTTGACACCAAGATTATAGATATATATAATAATATATAGTATTTTTATAATATTTAATATGATTATATTTACAATCCTTATACTTGTTCTATTTCATCTCGGTCCGATTCTCATTGTGATGTCTTCATCTGTATTTGTATCTAGTTTTTGGTCTTGTTGTAATTATATTATGGCCCTATCTTTCCAGCTTCTATCGGGCCAGGTTCTTTCATCAATTATCAAATATTTCTTCTTTTTGTATTCGGTTATCAATACGCTGTTCATCATGCGTACCTTAGATGGTTTCAAAGCGTTTGTTCACAAATTTTTATTACCTTTTTTCTTTACATTCTAATATTTTAAAAGTATCTTCAAAGAGCTTATTGAAAAGTCTTTCAGTGATATTGTTATCACCTGTTTCACGCCTCTACTTATTGTTATGATTTTGGATTTCATTCATATACATTAATTGTTGTTTTTGCTTCCTTATATATATTGGTTATTAGGTCCGTATATTGTGGTCAATTAGCTGTTAAAATCAAGAGAACTTTTCATGCCCTCAATGTTCGGACCCTGTGGAAAGCGCTTTTCGAAAATCTATGAACGCCATATATAGAGGAATAGGATAAATATAATATAATATAATAACAGAACATTTCTTCAACAAAAAGTTATCCCTTGTCTTCTCATATGATTCACAATCAAGGTATTACGTTCAGGAAACTTTTCAAATTGTCACCCTGTGTTAGATTCTTTTAATGGAAGATTACCCTTAAGAATTTGTTATTCTGACTAAATAATAGGATATTTGACAGTTCATATTCGATCTCATATTCGGTGTAAACAGATATTTAAATGAAGTTTGAAAGACAAAACAAACAAGGCAGCCGGGATAATACGCTTCTAGATTTAATTATATCATTGGTAGATGTCGTTCCATTCATAGTTTCTGAGTAATTAACAAAACAAAGCAAATTGATTTAAATTTTCAGATATCAAAATTTTAATCTAATCTGTATGCAGCCAGCTAATTGAATCTAGTTAGAAGGGAGGGCGGGCCGGATTTAGAGACCAATTTGAAACGCGACTGTTTAGAGAATTTAATCATCCTTTTTTATCCAATCGCATTTCTAAAACCAAAGATATCGTTTCAACATAATTAAACCGTTATACGAAGTGTTTACAAATTGGTAATTATCAAATCTCTCATTTTGTTATATTCAGAAAAAAGTCTGTATAGAGTAAATCTAAAATGTTTTCTGCAATAAATGTTCAAGAGCTCTTTGTAATAGTCGTCTCACGAAATTTTTAGGATGAAAATACGTATAAGGTATATATAGAGACACTATACGTTAAATCAAACATTAACTGTTTTCTTTTATCTTCACGTATACTCTTTCCTGACTACTCAAGGAATCAATTCGCCAATGATTTTTGCTTAGTGCGAATATATTGTTATGGAATAGAGTTTTAGATTCCCAATTTTCTCTTCTTCTCTACATCTTAAGCAACTCTTATTTTTGCCTTGCAAATTAGACGACAGAGATTAATATCAAAAATATGGATTTCGGTTTCTATAGGATCTACGGATTTTTGTTTCGTGATTTGAAAATTTTTTATTTATATCCTAAATATAAACAAATAACTTATCACAATGTTTATTTTCAGCACTCCCCGTCTTACCCCCGGCCTCACCGTGTTGACAGAACAGTCCAGTAGAAGGGGAGGCTCCAGCGAGTCTCCCCCACCCCCCCGCAGCTACATGGAGTTACCTCCAAGTCCATCCGAATGGTATTCTCTTAGGACTCGAACACGCCTACCCAGAAGGAATACCAGGAACTTAGAGTCGAAGCCGATTCAAAACACTCCCATCACAGCAGTGGAAGTCGGTATACTGGGCGGATTCTTCCAGGTTAGTATAGGCTGAAACAAGTATTGTTATATATTTATTTCGTCTCCGGGTTTGGACCCGTGGTCATTTGTGAGTGGACCCTCAAGTGGGTTCATCTCGACGTTTCGCTACATTGTATTGTAGCTTCCAGGTAGACAAAGAAAAGAAAAAGAAGAAAGAAGAAACAAAAGAACAGGAAGATGGGTAGTTAGCAAACGGTAACTCGTTACTCAACGCAACCAGAGGCGAATACTAACTACCAAGATGGGCATTTGGTCACAGTAACTCAACTACTCAACGCAGCAGAGGTGAAAAACAAATGCCAGGACAGGGATTCCACGTCAACAGCTCAGAACACTAACGCGTCGAGAGGCGGGTGAGTGAATCCGACGATTACTCCGCTATTACGGGATTCACTCCGCTCTCGACGGCGTTAGTGTTTGAGCTGTTGGACGTGAAATCCTGTCTGCATTTGGTTTTCACCCTTGCTGGTTGAGTAGTTGAGTTACTGTGCCTAATGCCCTCTTGAGTAATGAGTTTACCGTTGGCTAAAAATACCAACTTCTTGGTCTTTTTTTTCTTTTTCTTTGTTCTTCTGAAGAAGTCCATACAATTGTAGCGAAACGTCGAGATAACCTCACTTTGGGTCCACTCCAAATGAATGTTCCAAACCCGGAAGTACGAATAAATTAGTAATTTCTGACTCTGGCCGTGGAAGCTACGATCTCAAACGTTTTATCTACATATAAGTATGTAACGAAGCTTACTTATACACTTCAATGAAAATAAATTTAATGTAGGAAAATGACAATGTTAAAATCTAAATTCGGCGAAACCCCAGGTTCCAGTGATCATTTCATTGTGTATACCACGTTTTGTTTGGGTCTCGGTAATTACTGGTTAGTTCAGTTTTGTTAATGCTTCTTAAACACAGCAATGTTAAAGGATTGTCTTGGGTACTCTATGAGAGTGCAGCAAGTCCCGCTGGACGTGAGAATGTGAACACTTGATATAATAAGTCATGTTGAATCGTGATATTTTACATTAACAATAAGACATAAAATCGTGAATAGATGATTTGTGTTCCTCGTAATACCAAATTCTTTGAATTTTGTTAAGTATCTTCTAAATTTTGAACTGTGGTTGATCCATACTAAATTGATGACTCGAATAATTCAATCTTATATCAACAGTATATATGCATTGTCCAAGCTTTTACCCTATACAATAGGAGAGAGGGTTTATTTTATATATTAATTTTCATAGGGTTAAATTCTTTATTTCGGGGTTTTCACAAACTGAGCTAAATTGTTACTTTAAAACTTTGTTTGTAATCCGTAGAATATACATTTTAACATATTAAATGTGATTTTACCACATGTGATGTTAGATCGTAGTAACAATATTAATCAATTTTTATTCTGTATAGGTGTTGGTTCACCCCCTTCCCCAGCGCCCGCTCCAGGCAGTCCCACTCAAGTAAGACGGGAGAGAAGAGCAAGTCCACATGGGAGCAGTAGCGGCAAAAGACAAAGCCGGGGATGGAGAGCTAGCGGGTAGTGCGCAAAGTTTCGGTAATTCAAGAGGACGGTACTGGGTATGAAACGGTCAGAGTGCAGGCTCACAGCAATCGGGCGCAAATGTTCAAGGTATATATTTGATAATTGTTCATAATTATTGTCATTATATTTTTTTAAAAGCTATTAATAAGACAACTTACCAAAAATTTGACAGTTGATGATAAAAGATATGGACGAATAGTTAACATTATTACAGCCAAACCTTGATTACATCCGGAAAAGACAAAAGCTCAAGAAGGATTAAAAAAGAATCAACTATTTATCAACCGACACAAAGAAGCTTTTGGATAAAGAAGGATGTGACCGCAGAAAAGGCAAAGAAAATCTATAGAATTGTAGAAGCAATCAATTAAACAAAGAGCAGAGATGTTAAAAGGAAATAAGAGAAAGCACAAGAAATAAAAATAGAAGAAGTTAAATACAGAAACAACAAATACTATGAATGCTTAAGACCGAATTAGGTTTAAGTTTCTGAAAATAAAACAAATAAATGATGTAAACGGAGATGAGAAAAACATTATCAGATGAATATAAAATATAATCTATTTTACTCAGAATTATATAAACCAAAAAGGGAATCACAGACAGAAATTAGAAAACCAACGTAAGGCTAAATAAAAAATGGTCAATCAGAGCTATCAGCCAAGAAATAAGCAAATCAGAAATAAAGAAGGATTGACAGAAATGACAACACACCAAATCGCCTGGAAAGAATAGCAATATCTGCCGACGCTGCTGATGCTATGGTGTAACAGTGTGTACTTAATATCTACATTCCCTTTGTTATACTAGAGATTCTAGAAAGCAAACAACTGGAAGGAATCCGTAACTTTATCCTACACAAGACAGGGGAATATATTAGAGCAGATATAATAAATGCTCTACCGTCCTCTGTAACACTCCTCATGTAAATCGTAAATGTTATCACTCCTACCAAAAAATTTTAATCGAGAGTAGATTTTCGACAACAGTTCGACTGGATACCTGTCGAAAGAATCAGCTGGTTTTAGAACGGGATTCAGCATAAAATGGCCCATTTTCTACGCATGGAAGACTTACTCTATTAGCAACAAGCAAATTGACTACACATTCCTCTTATATATGCGTTATAGATGTCGAAATCGGCTTTCGCAGAGTGTCGAACATTGGGCAGTGAAAAAGTTTTTGATTAACAGCAGAATTGACCACAGCTATACGGAACTAATAGCAATATATATAAAAGAAACCAAAACAACAATTTAAGTATTGAAGGAACAAAATCAATACCAAATAAATAGAGGTGTGCGACAGGGTGTACAATATCACGAAACTTTCAATCAGGCTTGAAGATACTTTTAAAAGTTATAATGGGAGACAAAGGTATAAAAATTGTGGCACACTGTTTGACCATCTAAGGTACTGATGACATCGTATTGATACAATTGTAAAAACAAAGAATTGTTTGAAATGATGAAAGAATGGACGTCGAATCTGGAAAGATAGTATCTTAATAGAATTACAGCAAGGCCAAAATCATAACAAATTACAGATGAAGAACACAATGAGGATCGGACAAGATGAAATAGAACAAGTTCAGGATTATATATTTGGGTCAAACTATAAAACTTAACAAGAAAAACCAAACAGCAGAGATAAAGAGACGAGTTAGACTGGCATGAGCGGCATTTGGCAAACTAAGCTACATTCTTAAAATCAAAAGATATCCACAGCATCTTAAGACCAAAGTGTACAATCAATGCGTACTCCTGTTCTCACTTATGGTTCCCAAACGTGGACTTTACAAAAGCAAACATGGACAAAATCATAAAAACCCAAGAGCAATAGGAAGACAAATGTTGCATATAAGACTAATGGATAAAAAGAGAAACGAGTGGATAAGAGAGAAAACAAGAGTGAGGAATGTTGCAAAATTGAAATGGAGATTTGCCGGACACAATATAAGACAAAAGAAGACCGATGGAACAAAAATCTTATAAGTTGGAGACCGTGGGAATATAAACGAAGCAGAGGAAGGCCCCAAATGAGATGGGCAGATGATATCAAGAAGCACGTGGGCTCTAGATGGATGACTGTAGCGACAGACAGAGAAGAATGGAAAAGGATTGGGGAGGCCTATGTCCAAATATGGACCGAAAAAGGCTAATTAGATAGATAGATACAGATATTTTTTTATATATGTATGTACGCTACTGATCGTCGTCGATCACGTGATGGAAAACTTATGTCTGCGCAAACTACATATTCATACTCGCTTACTTCCTATTCACGTAAAACTTGTTAAAAGATATTTCGCAACTTTAAACGATCCGTTCGAATTTAAGCATTAAAAGTTTTCTTGTGTGTTCCAGTAATCCAAAATCAGTCTACGGGGAAAACGGCAGCTGTTTCCGCAGTTCCCAGGACTAAAGTTAAAGTTTCGGGAGGCACTCAAACTTGTTCGAGCGATCTTCAACAATCTCACAGTAAGTATGAACTGTATTTGGTATATAATACCGTCGAACTTTTATTATATCAGTCTGTTTTTGCTACAACTATTTATTAAAGTCGAGTTTCGAATACGTGCAGTATATTCTTGCGAAATGAAATCAATAAAACGATATTAAGTTGTTGGTAGAAGGTATAAAAGTACAAACAGTGAGATAACCGATCAGTTTTGATTGAATTAAAAGCCATTGTGCAATTACATAAGGTAAGGTAAAGGTAACAGTCAGTGTACTTAAGAAATGATATGGGCATAACTTTAAAGAACTTAACAAGACATTGGTACCAATCAACACGAAGACGATAAGGAGAAATTACTATGGATTACTAGGAGAGATTACTATGATCGAGAAAAAAAAGGAAAGGGAAAGGTCAATTGAAAGATGGTAAGAAGAATGGAGCAACACGGAAGATGTGGCACAGTGGACAAATATGCTAAGCCCGAACATAAGGTTTAGGTAGACTGTGGTCTGTTTTAGAGCCTATCTCTCTAGGTTCAGAAAAGCTGACATGGATGAACGCCTATACTGCGGACACTGTGACAAATACAATGTTATAGTGCAACAGATAGATAGTAGAAAGGAACAGAATGGAAAGAACCAGTGTACACAACTATATCCGTGCTGTGATCAAGAAGAGAAAAAAGAAAGAAAAACAGCTGGACCAATGTCAACGGTAAGAGGGAGAAATTCTGTAAGTTGAGAGAATACATTTGATGAGAGGCGAAAAGTGATCTAGATTGTGTGAGTCAGACGGCGGGAAAGGAGGAAATGCTCGGCTGGAAGTGATGCCTTATTAGGAGAGCGACGAAGGTTTTCCAGCGGGTTCCTATAAAAAACAGTTTTTGAGACCAAAAAAGGGGAAACAGGGGAAAGGAACAGGTGAATCCTTACTGTCAATCTATGGATAATGGATGTAGTGTTTTGTAACTTAATGCTCGACCTTACAGAGAGGAGGGTCTGGTTTAGCAGGTAGCCGTTCGGCGTAGACTCGAGGATGAGAGGGCGATTTAAAGTACCTCAGGAAGTATTTACGGGACTACCAAGAACGAATCTTGCACTAAGGTCAATCAGGTGACGTCATAGACTGAGATTTCTTTGGAGATTCGAGAACTCTCCTCTAAAGGTACACTAGGTCAGTAACAAAAAACGGATTAAGTGCTTTTTTATTTCCGACATTTACTTGATACAAAGATAGAGCAGATCTGCCCACTTATAAAAAAGAAATCCTTAATTCGAAGCTAACAGGCCTTTTTGTTTTGATTATTAATCTGAATGATTTTATCAAGCGTAAAAAAGTTTTTTCTCAGCGCCAAAAGTTTATTTTCATCATCATTATCAGTAGCTCGACAACCCTTTCTGGGTCCTGGCTTGTTCTAGGACTTTCCGCCATTCTGTTCTTTCCTTACTTTGTTGTTTCAGTGGGTAATCTTAAGTGTTTTCAGATCTTGTTCCACTTATTCCATCTATCTAAGTTTGGGTCGTCCTTTGACCTTCTCCTACCGGTGTTTGCCTCATTATATCTTTTGGTGTTTCAGTCTCCAACATCCGTTCAACATGGCCCATCCAGCGCAGAGTTTCTTTTACTTTCATATATTTTTTGCTTGAGCTGCATATTAGAGAACTAGGGATTTTGCCCGTCCATAAGATCCGATTAATTGCCATCTACAGTCACTCCACTGACTTCTATTTAAGGTTAGGATGTAAACGAAATGATATTTTAGTCTGTTGTACAACTTTCATAACAAATAAGTCATTTTCAGACAATCGCTAAACTTTTGCTTGAATTCGTGATATAAAATCGATCTACGTACAAAAACCAGCTTAGCTAGAGTTCGGAAAGTCATTTGTTGGAAAAGCTCGATTTTTTTACCTATCACCATATTCGCAGTCAATATTTTAGGATCAACAAACTTTGATCCGAAGCCAGTAATTTGACTCGGTAGGTTTAAATGTTAGTTGGTGGTTCAGATTTCTTTCCTAGGTGGCTGCAACTTGAGCTGCATGGTATAAATGCAGTAAAGCCAGAGAAAGAGGATTATGCCAATCATATATTACCAAAGAGGAGCAAGAAAGCTTACCGGAATGGGAAAGATTACCAGAAAAACATACCAGCAAACGATGGGAAAGATACCTGACGGAACTGTTTAATGGAAAGGAAAATAATAATCAACACAATAACGTACGTGAATTAAGACACGAAATAAAAATCAGTTTTAAAAATATCTTTATCTTCCAGAAACAACTATTTGTAATTCATTGTATAGAGGGCGGCATATTATGCGCTAGAAAACATTACTGCCTGTATTTCCTATCTAAAAGTATATATTCATGAACACTACGATGTTTTGTTGGCCTACTTGAGTCGCATTCAGTAGTGATAGAAGTGGAAAATACACGTGGAGCTACGTAGCGCCATCTATTATCGCACTTGACAGACATGACCACGGAATGTAAAGAGATAATAAATATTATCAATATAATTAGTTTAATGAAATTCGAGATACCTATACCCTGTCGATCTTGAGAAGTGTTTCCAATGTTTAGATGTATTTGCAATATCTTAACCGACTTATAAAAATCTTTTAAGTTTATCAACAAATTCAAAGTTTGTTTTTTTTTAGAAGCAAGTCCGCCCCAATTTAAAAGTTACTCCTTGACGGGTAACACTGCCAACCAGCTCAGTCAGTCAGTGCGCGAACGCCTGATGATGGGTTCACAAAGTCTTCCAAAAGGTGCCGTCACACATCAAGAATACGGATTAGTGATGAGACAAGCGAGGCCCAAAGTCAGCGACGGGTCTCTTTCAGATACTCAGGCCATCGAGAACACCAGTCCTTATGCTCCTTGGTTACGACACAGGTAAGAAGATATAAATTACTTTAGTTTATAGTTATTGCATTGACAAAACATTCTTTTTGAAAAGTTTTGTACTGTTGATGAGCTCGACAAGTAGTCTAGATATTTTTTCCAGTGCACAAACTGTGTCGTGTTTTAGAAACTGTAACTTGTGTTGCCTACCTTCTGGCTAAAATGAGAGTTAGTTCAGTTTTACCCTCTATATCAAGTGTTTGCCAATTGTAATTTACTTTTTATTTGTGGCAGAAAGACATTTGTGTAAACAACGTATATTACAATTTATTATCACAGAATTTTTATTATAAATTAAAAATTTTGACCTTTTTTGTTTTTTGAACGGTTTTGTTTCATCTTTTTATGTTTTGTTTTAGCAATACTTACTCAGTTGCTCCTAGATTATCCGAAACTGACAGTATGGAATCCCTGACGAGTTTACCAGGTCACAGAAGTAGCTTGACGCACGCAAGATTGTTGAGGATTCCCCGTCAAGGTTAAGTCGAAGCAATAGTATAAGGTATTTTTACTAACCAGTTGTTCTCACCGATTTTTGTTTAATTTCACAGATACATGGTGTTTTTATTAATTTAATTCAGTAATAGAAGATTTAGATGTGTTTGTAACGAAATTTTGAAATTTTTGTAAAAATATTACAAAAAAAGGCGCTATTATCTTATTAAAAGATTGGTTATGATTTGCAAATAAATTATGAGAGGTAAGAAATAGACAAATAAATGTTAAATGTAAAACTAATCCTATTATTAAAGATAAGTAGGTAAAAAGTACTATTTTATGTTCTTTGGTAGGTCTGATATGTAGGAGGGATATGCCATAGTTGGACTCAGGCATACATAGTGTGAAAATCACAAAAGGCAGAAAGAATACAATAATTAACTCGACATAAAAGACAGGCAAGACTCCAACCCAGCCTATCTAGTAGACTTGTGAGTTATTTTTTATAGGTTTACTGGATGATTCTCATCGCCACGCTGGTCTTTCTAGAGGTCTCTACCACATGCTTTCTCATACTGCCACATGGTTACTTCGTAATAGTTTAATAAAAACGTTCATAGTGCTTTTCTGTCTGATGGAGCCCCAAACAAATTGCTTTATATGTTTTTTCCAACGTATGTATCATTACCATTTAAAACCATATTATGACTGCATCGAGTAGGTTGGCCTGATTTGCCTTGAAGAGTTGAATATCTGCATATGGTCGTTGAGTTAGTATCGATTAGGTGTTACTGGATGATTTTATTCGCAATGCTGACCTGTAATAAAGACTTTCTTAAACTGGGACCTCTTGCCAACTATAAGCACTATAAAAGGATCAATACATATAGGGAACTTAAATCGATCTACATACTCTGACCTTGTCCAGTATTGTCTTCCTTAGAAATAAAAATTCTTTCATATTCTGGCGTTGCCGGCTGAAGATAAAGAACTACGTACAGCTTACCTTTATTTACCTTGTTTTTCCACATGTGTTATTACTCAGTGTTATTCCTACCAGTTTTCCATTCTGCTGGAGATTCTGTTGTTATTGGTTAAGATCTTACATCGTCCGCCTGGATGCATAGGTTTTTGTAATCTGTTAAAGGTTAATCGCGGTTTTTAATTTTTAAAACTTGTGATAGTGCTAAGTATAAATGTTTGATTGTAACTCAGGTTTTTTTCGGTTATATTATGATGTATCTATTGTTTAATTTTTTTTATTTTCATTAATTGAATAAAACACCATGTATTTTCAAAAAAATCAAACTTGATGCTGTATGTTTTAAAACAAACTAGAATATTATGAATAACCAATCATTTGGTGCATTTCATAAAAAAACAAAATACCAAAACAACTCAGAATAGATAAAATTGTAACACATAATATTCACGTTACGTCATATCATTTCATAATTGTTTCCTTTTGTCAATTGTCATTGTCAAAATTGGATGACGTAAAAGTTAAATATTTATTTTGGAAATTTTATAGTTGTTTAAAGATTAGTATTTCCAAATGAAAAGTTTTTAATCAACAATTAATGAGTACACACTCCCATTCATGATTATTCTTTTTTTTTTTCAATGAAAGGATCTGCAACACTTCAAGTTTATTTGAACTATTAATATTGGGAGGCAGGAATTTTATTTCGAACAATAAATTTGTCAAAAGCTGATCGAACGGACTATAACAGAACTTTTCTTCTGTATCACGTGAGTTTGTAGAAGCATAACAGGGTATCTTTGCCCTTTTATTCTTCTTCACTCAAATATCACTTTGCCATGGCTTTTGTGACTTACTAATTTCGTTTCACATTAGTCTCTTGTTTTTCATCCAGTTCTGTTTGTATATTTTTACAGTACCCCCCTCCAATATATTAATTTTTATTTAAAATGAAGCTTCCTTTACGTATAGTAAATTTCTATAAAGGCGTTAAGTATTTGGTATTTTATAATATTGTTTTTGTTTCAAAATCTTCGAATGTAATTTTCTGTATTCTAGTCACTAAATGTAGGCAACCTATTATGCAATATGCGCCTGTATCGTCAATATTTATTATGTTCAAAAACCAAAAGAAATTTTTGAAAGCTTAATTTATGTTTTGTAAATGTAGTTAAAATTACATTAAAGTCTTCTTTTTAATCTAGACACTTACTTCTAGACAGTCACTATCCTAAGTTGTTTTTAGCAACATGTTCTTAAAACTAGGACCCCTATTATATGTAATAAAAATGAAAATAAAGGTATTGTTGGTAATATGCTTTATTAAATTGCAGTTCAAATCTTTAATATACCTGTTTCATATTTTTCAGTTCTAATAGAAACTGATTTTACAAAAATTACAGAAACTGAAAATTAAAATGAAAATACAACAAAAAGCAACAACATTAGCGGCATAATATCATTAAAAAATAATAATAATTCAGTTTTCGCTACTTGCTAAAAGACCTTAAATGTAGGCAACCGACTATACAGCATGCACTTCGTGTACCTAATGTCACAGAATAATAAACAAACAGAATGCCCACTCTCCACGGAAAATTAAGTACGCGCATCTCCTTCGCGCAGACGTTCCGCCATGTTTTACGAGGATTTTAAAGGGAAACCAGTGTTGTTTATGTGGTGTGCATGGAAAAAAACCAGGTTTATTTGACTTACGGCAATCATAGACATACTATACAATTATATTAACGTTTTAAATATAAGAATATAAATATAATATAATTAAACAGAATGTAAACAATTGCATAACCTCACAAATCATGTTGGTGTCCTCCTAAACATGGCGCGCGTGCTGAAAAACTTCAAAGGCGGCATCTGAGAGTTGCCCTTCTGATTGTTTATTATTCTGTGCTAATGTATGCAACCAGTTTTACAGCGCGCACTTAGTAATATAATACAACTGTTTAATAGGACTTACGGCATCAAGTTGAATATAATAATATGTATTGCACTTTTTTGACTGTCTTAACTAGATAATTATAACATCGAATGTTTCTTACATACAGCTACCTCAGAGAAAGGACTTTTCCAAGGTATTAAAGCGGATAAAGGCCTTTTTGCGAATAAACTTTTTTCTTCCACTGTTTGAGCTAAATGTTTTCATAAATATATATACATCAATAACTATGACAGTGATAGTATTCACAGTTTGAAAGATTTAACAAAATAGTAAGAAAAACCACGGTATTTATAAATTTTTAGTGTGTATTGAATATGTATTCAAGGTACTTAATATTTTATGAGCAGATTTGTTAAGATTAAACTGGCTTTTTAAGTCGGAAATTTAATTCTATTAAGCCTTTAACTCTCTTTCTTAATGTTCCCATCCTTTTTTCATTATTACATAACTTTTCTGATGCTTTGGATCGTTTTGGTAGCATTTTTTGCTTCTGATTGTCATTTTTTACTGCTTTTGACACCTTTTAATGGCTTTTAGGCGGTCTTGGCACATTCTCTTCTATTACAACGATTTTTCTGTTGAGAACCTATGACTTCGAGTTCATTGATGGTTACGGGTCAAACTTCAAGTGTGCTGAAGTATTTAACAAAAGTGATAGCTTGGCTATGTCAATGTCACCTGTTATAGACAAAAAAAGTGTCGAAAATGAGTGAATAGCGTAAAAAACAGACGAAAAATTATTAAAATTCGTAAAAAAAGTAACTAAAAGCGCCAAAGCGTTAATAAAGTGAAGAAAAGCTGTTAAAAAATGTGACTCTGTGAGGCTTTTAACTCTGTTTATTATTCTCTTTTCAAGCGCTTTTCTACCGCTTTTTACTATTCTGTGCTGCTTTTTTGTTGCTCTTGGTGCTTTTGACCCTCTTTTTTAATGTTCCTATTCTTTTGGCCATTTTACATCGCTTTTCCTATGAGTTTTGTTCCTTTTATCGCATTTTTACTCCAGTATAACATTTTTTGTTGCTTTTACGCTCTTGCATTGCTTTTTAACGTCGTGACCTTTATTACAGTTAGTGGCTAGCTCAGTCCGGCGTAGGTACTGTGATGTACCAAAATAAATCATTTTTCCAAGGGTCTAAGACACAGTAATCAATAAATTTCAAAAATATATTTACATATTTGCTTATTAATAGTGGTAAAAGAAATCAGATATGCTTTTATTGTTATTTTAAAGAAAAATTAAAGTTATTGTACTTTAATCATAACTTGCGCTGTCAATGTCACATGTCACAAATAAAAAAAGTGCCGAAAATGAGTAAAAGAAAACGTGACGAAAAATTATTAAAATTTATAAAACAAAGAAAAGTTTAGAAAAAATCTATTTCTTGTGCTTTTAAAGATTTGACTATCTTTTGCATCCTATTGACACTTTTTTATCACTTTTTATTATTCGGTACCGCCTTTTTGTTCTTTTTGGAGGCATTGTAGGAGGTTTTGTCCAGATTTTTTCCATTGACGACGTGTGACCTTGACTTTAACCTGGACCATTGGCGATTGGGTGTCAAATATCAAGTGTTATGAGGCATTTAATAGAAACTATAACTTGAGCTGTTAATATCACTTGTCAGAAACATAAAAATGCCGAAAATTAGTTCTTAATTATTGTTTTTTCTTTTTATCCACGCATGTTTTTCACGCTTATTTATTGACTTTTAGTATGCTGTGCCACTTTTTCGTTGCTTTGGGTCTTTTTCCAAGCTTTTAGACTCTCTTATTTGTTCAATACTACTTTGATTTGACTCTTTCGCTCTCATTTAGTTTGCTTAACTTTTTCTAACTTAAATTTTTAACTTTCTTACATTTTTATTTACTTAACTTTACCTTATGGTCCATTTAAAACTTTTTGGCTGATGAATTCCTTGAAATGTCAGCAGCATTTAAAACGCGATAAAAATTGTAACAATAAAACACTGAAAACTTTGTTTTCAAACTTCCACAAAATTTATTTTAAATTTTATCACTACAGCTGTTTCGGCTGATTGCCTTTCTCGAGTGATCGCCTTTCTCGATAAAAATTGATTGTGCGTGTTGAAAACTCGACTAAAA